GCTGACAGGTCCAAAAGAACTAGGACAGAGGAATACCCCCTGTCCCGGGCCCTCCAGAGATCATTAACCAGTGCGACCAATGCCGTTTCCGTGCTGTATCCCGGCCTGAAGCCCGACTGGAGCGGGTCCAAATAAGGTATCGCTTAGTGGAGTTGAAGTTACCAGGAAGTGAGCCTGGGACTTTCTATATGCAAATCAGGTGGTACTACTTTTCATACATCCCTAACACCAGATAAGATCATTTAAATACAATTTCAGGGCTTTGTTTTGCATTTATCCAATGAATACAACATTGCATTTAACTTTTACACAATATATTCAAACATCTATTTATAACAATACAATATTCTATAAACATACAAAACTTCATACATTGGGAACAGGTTTTGCTATTATTTGCTGTCTTCGCTTTTTAAAAGGAAAACTAGCTAAATATATCCACAAGCACAGGAGAGTATTCTTTCACACACACTTCATCAGAAACGAACCAATTAAAACCACATTGGCAATAATCTATAATTTGTCATTATTCAAACATAGATACAGCTATCCTGAGTATAAAGAAACATTCAGTTTAGCATAACTTGATATTTCTTCTCATAATACAAATAAAGTTGCAATGTTCTTGGAGTATTCTTTGAAACTACAGCGAATTAGTGAGAGAAATAAATAAACTGTGCATGACAACTGAGAAAAATTGACAGAGGCTGGTATATATCTTTACAATTTCTGTACCTCTATCATTTCTGCAGTCTAAATAAAATTAGTTCTGACACCTTTTCCAATTCTTATGATTTTATATTCCAAAAATCCATGTTGCAAAAAAGTTGGTGCCGCAGAGCACCTAATGTAATTCTAAACAACTGTAAAACAAATTCGCATCACAAACTTAGGTCCTGAAATGCAGCTACTACCCAAAAGATCCAATGACAGTAATATCTGAGCACAAGTTTAATCATAACTACAACTTCTGAATTCTCTTATTATCACTGAAAACAAATAACAGCAAACAGCATGTCTAGATATAAATATCTGAAACAGGCTGAAAAGCACAAATTATGAAAATTATTAGTACATAAATGCTTGATAGCTAACTAAGCATCCTTACCCATTTCACTTGAACAGGGTTGTCGAAGTTTTCCATCCTGCCCAATTAACATTTGTTTATTACATCTGTGCCAAGAACAAATTTCTGATTTGTCTATACATGATTCTGGATACTGTGTAATTAGATATGTTCCCACTGCACTTGCATTGCAAGCATTGTCCATGTATGTTTGAGCACCTTTGAAGAGCAGTTGTTTGGTTTTCTCTGTGATAATAAGCGAACAAGAACAAAGATGAGAATGTTATTAATGATATTCTAATTGTACTGTCCAGAGTGACACTATAGTGTATTATTCAATTTCTGTCTACTGTAATGTATAACCTCTTAACTACAAAATCTTGTAGCAACAAATATGATTTCAGTTACTTTTCTCGGCCTTCTGGTGGTTGGCTGGACTTTTGCTAACCAAGAAAGAAATTGTGAGCAACTTCCAATTCTCTTTTCTTGCAAAGAATGTCCAGAGGTTGAGAAATCATGAACATGTCTTACCTAAAACCAAACCATATTGGTTCACTGTCTTCAGAATTATATATGTTGATTAAATTATAAATATCTCAGTTCAAGCTGGTTTTGATATATTACTAGCTTATCACAGTATCATAGTGACAGTTTTTAAATAGTGAACATCTATATCAGTGGTTCTCAACCTGTGGGTCGGGACCCCATTTGGGGTCGATCGACCATTTCATGGGGGTCGCCAAGCAAGGCTGTCTGCCATTTTTTTTGTCCGCCATTTTTTCCCCTTTTCCGGCGGGTGCCTTACCTCCCTTGGGCTGGGCCAGCTGGTGGTCGGCCTGCTCCGTCTCTGCCGCTTGCNTAGTCCTCGACTTACGACCGGTTTAGTCCTCGACTTACGACCGGTTTAGTTCTCGACTTACGACCGGTTGGGGTCGCGGCATTAAAAAGGTTGAGAACCACTGATCTATATGCAATATTACACTCAAGTTAGATGTTGAATAGAGCGAAATGGTTGGAGATTCAACCGTTTTAGTACTTTTAAGCCAGCAAGAACGTAAAATAGCCTTGAAGACGAAACACGAAACCCTGGGGACTGCAACTGAGTGCACGTGACCTTGGGGGGGGGGACTTCAGTTGTGAAGTCAAGGGTGTTTAGGGAAAGCAAGGAAATCAAACGACTGGATTCTTTTGACAGATTAAAAATGACCCCCCCCCCGTCTTTTTAACCAAATGGCTTGGGCCTCCCACGCTTCGAACGCGACGCAGAGCACCTCTGGGCATACGCTGAGCGCTTTTCTTGTCGCGCACTAGCCAAGTTTGAGCGGCCGGAGATTCGGTCCCATTGTGTTACACTGGGCAGGGATAGTCAACCTTGGCTCTTTTATGACTCGTGGACTTCAACTCCCAGAATTCCTGAGCCAGCTCAGCTGGCTCAGGAATTCTGGGAGTTGAAGTCCACGAGTCATAAAAGAGCCAAGGTTGACTACCCCTGTAGTTACAGTGACAGGAAAGAGGGGGGGGAGAAGGGAGTTTCGCTTTCTTCTTCCAAACAGTCGCCTTTCCGGAGGCCGAGCAGGAGAAAGGCGCGCCCAGGGCGGAAAGACCCCCGCGGCGACTGTGGGGAAACGCGCCCTCGACAGCGGAAGGAAACCCCGATTCTCGCGAGGACAAAAAGCCTCCCCGAGCGATTTCTCTGCCCTTCCCCCCTCCCCCCTCCCCGAGCGCCGCGTCGCCTCACCGAAGATCTCGCGCCGGTACCTCTCGCCCATGACGCCCTGGCTCAGCTCCTTCAGCCGCACGCGCGTCTTCAGCTGCACCGGGGACGAGTCCGCGAACGGGTAGGAGCGCTTCGGCATCTCTTTTCCCCCCACCCCACGCGGATCGGCGCAACGAGCAGCTCGGGCACCCGCAGCTCCGGCGGCTTAGCGGGACAATGAACGCCAAACCTAGCCGTCCCTTTCTGCGCGGGAAAAGAAGACTCGTAAACAAGACTCCCGGAGGAAGCCGCTGCACGGCCCCGCCTGCTTGGTCACCCGCCTTTGCGTCATCGGACCCTCGGCCAATCAGGAGGCGAGTTGAGGACATGGGGGAGAAGAGGACCCTGGGGTTCCGCGAGTGGGCCTTCGCATTGGCGGGGAGAGACGTGACGTAGAGGGGCGGGGCTGGGGCCGAAAAAGAGCGGCGGCGAGCAGGTTGAAATCGTTCAAGCGATTAGCGTGGGAGCTTTGGGGTAGCCCGCATTTAAACCAATAGGTTCTATAGGCCCTATTGCAGGGCTTTTCAACCCTTTCACCCATTGTACCACTTTTAGGATATGGCAACATCCGAGTACCACCAGTCGCCTAGCAAGGTGTCAAAAACTTGATGACAAAAAAAAAAAAAAAGTGATAAAGTACAGGTAGTCCTCGACTTACAACAGTTCGCTTAGTGACTGTTCAAAGTTACGATGGCACTGAAAAAAGTGCCTCCCAAGGCACAGCCGAGGAAGACGCCTGCCCACCCGGCGGCGCTCTTCCTCCTGTCCGAGGTTTCCATTGTTGTGAGCATTTCTGTTGAGGATTGACAGCGGGGGTGGGGTTGGGGGTATTTGGTTTTTATTCCCCCCGTCTGCTGGGTGGTTGCAGCAGGTTTTGATCACTTCACATGACCCTGGGAACTGTGACCGTCATAAATATGAATCAGTTGCCACGCATCTGAATGTAAATCATAAGACCCTGGGGATGCTGCAACATTCCAGCTGATCGGCGCTTCTTCTGGGCTCAGCAGAAGCACTAGGATCAGTGCCAAGCTCCAGCTGGAGCCTGGCGCTGATCCTGGTGCTTCCGCTAAGCCCTGACAGCCCTGCAGCTCCAGCCGTCTCTCGCTCAGGCTTGTGCAGTGCTGTCACCGGTTCAGCTCATTCCCCTCCCCCGCTACCACTTTTCTAGGATGCTCGTGTACCACCTGCCAGGTGCCAATGTACCACAGGTGGTACCCGTACCACTGGTTGAAAAGCCCTGCCCTATTGAGTATTCTTAAATAAACCTCATTTAGGATTCGATGTTGGAGTCAAGACTTCATCAGAAATGACATGGGCATTTATCTCCCCAATGTGGTTTACCTTTAAATAATATTAACCAAAAATTTAATTTACTTTAAGAATGTAACTATTATATGTGGAAAAACAAACATGTTTAAGGACTAGGTTTACTCCACTGCAGCCTTCACTCTTGTCACCAAATTCTTCACTGAGGAGTACATTTTTGAAAGCAGTGGGATTTATCCACTATGAAATGAATGTCATGTTGCACAATAACATTTTTTCATGGTGATAAGAGGCTAATGGACAATATACAAAATTTCCAACATATTTATTAGTTATGCATGTTGATTCAGATTTTATCTAAAAGTTATATAACTCCTATTGGTGCCATGCATACACAACACCATGTGAGAACACGGTAGAATTTACTATAGGATTCTTGGCTACAAGTGATATATGATCCTGAGCTACAAATTCTCTTTTAGAATTTACTATATTTGGTGATCTTGGAAGATTTTGGCCATATCTGTTTTTTTATAAAAAAATATTGCAGTATTATCATTTACATTTATGGATGCAAATCCCTATAGATTTTCAGCAGTATATAGACAATCTAAGAAATAAAATAATAAACCTAAGAAATATGCAATAAACAAAGAGATGAAAAGCTGGTCCAGACTGATGCAGCATGTGTAGTTACGGATGCACCTCAGTATGCCCATATGTCAAGCTACTGTGAGAGTTGTACTGGTAATTATTGGGCTTCCAAGTGCAATTCAAAGTGCTAGTAGTTACCTGCAAAGCCCTATATGACACAGGGCTAGGATATTAGTGGGGCTATCTATCTCTTATTATCTCGGCCTACCTAACAAGATCTGGCATGCTCCAGGTCTTATTAGTGTCATTTAATGGAGTCCAAGAAAGATGCCTTATCTATCACTGCATTTGCTTTGTGAAACAACACCCCCCCACCTCCAGATCTGGATGGTTCAGAGCCTGCTGGTTTTTTAAAAGATCTTGTTCTTCTCTTTGGTATTGGATATTGTGTGGGCTATTATTATGCCATTTGTAAGTTACTGTCCTGGTGACATATGTTTCTTTGTTGATTTATATGTATTGTGCCTTGTTGGCTGCCCAGAAAATGAAATAATGAATTAATACATATAACATGAGCATAGTACTCTTGTAAACATAGACTTAACACAAATTCTGCTGGGAGAAAAGTTGAAATCATATAGAATACATACATACAGAGTACATAAATTGATCATGCATGTTTTTATAACAAATTTCAATAATATTTTGGTTACTGAAGGTAAATTTTAGCTGACATTTATTTCAAACTGAGCCCAGTTTCTGCTGACCTCAGTCCAGATTGGTTTGGTATTACTACCTAATTTAATTCAGAGAGAAAGCAGCAAGCAACCAGCAATAACATATTTGCTTTGATGGTGCTTTCTGTTCATGTTATCCTCTTTGTTTTCCTCATAAAATTATTATATAACTTGCATCTATATAACAAATGTTGCTGCTGAATTTTGTTCACATATAGTCTCTTATACATATGTGTATGTCTTAGTGATGAACTTTAACAAAGCTAAATATAATTAAGTCAGCTACTCCAAACATTCTATCAAATTTAACATTACTTGGCATACAAAATTGGGTCTTGCATTACTATCATAGCATCTTGTTACTGGAAGAACAAAGATAATGGAGAAACGTCTGAATGCCACAAAGAATTTGGCAACTGCAAGGAAAATGCTAATAGAAGGGTGGTCTTGATTAAACAGTATATAAAGTCACACATTAAAGATTAGATTGTAATTTTTGAACTTTCATATGTGTTATAAAAATAAGAGACCTCTTTCTTCAATCATTAGTTTTTATGGACCAGATTCAATATAAAATCTGGTGTTATCAGTTCTGTATTAAAGCCAGAAGTGATTCATGGTGTGGGAAGAATCCAGAAAAAGAAATATTTTGGAGAATATTAAAAAGGCAGAATATATTTCCCCAAAGGATCTTAAAGGCAAGGCACAAAAGCAAACCCAGTTTTTCTTAATAGCCCCAAGCAGAAACCCAGCAGAAACCAGCTTTTAGAAATGCAGATGTAATAATCCATTCAGGAAGGTTGGAGCCAGGAAGCTAGAAGCTGATGAAATTAGGAAGACAAAGACCCCTAAAATTTACATACCCCACCCAAACTTTAAGACAAGGGAACATAATAGGATTAACCCACCAATACAAAAAGGGCACAGTCAGACTCAGATCAAAGTACATGACACAGGAAATACAAAGCCACAAACAGGAACAGGAAACCTCAAAAGCCCCAGAAGGTATAAAAACCCACCACTCCCAGCTACGTGTGGTCAGCTTTCCCAGAGCCACACTTCTGTCTGGCTTTACTCTTCAATAAACTACAACCTTCATTTTGTTTATTCCTGGCTTGGACTGGACCCTGATGAAGATTTTTCTTTTAACAATGGGATTCAGAAAAAAGAGACAATCTTACTTTCTCATAAGGCTTTATTGAGTAAATAAAAGAGCTATAAGATAAATACAGTTCCATTTACAATATATAAAATACTCAAGAGAACAGTTTTAGTGCATTTTGATCATCTGGTTTACATTTGCTATATCAAGAATTGTGTGGCATAGTGCATCATAAAAATGTTAGGCCCAAAACCTGACCGATTTTTGCCTGATGTACAATTAAGACATTTTCAGTGTCTTATCATTCTCTTCCCCACATTGAGTCATAACATATTTTAGATAACAATTGCATTTAAACAGTATACTAAAATTGTATTAAATTATTAAGCCAAATTGCACATGAAGCTTTAATATCCTAGGAAACAGTCAAAATACAATACATATTCTGCATGAAGAATGAATTATAACAAATAAGTATAACAAATCCTGACTACTAAATATTTAATTTCATTTGATGCTATTTTATGGGAACAAAGATTTCTGTTAAAATATGCCAAAGTTAATAGATTCTCTGTGAATATTGATTTAAACAAGTGCAAACTAAGAGGCCTAAGGAAGATCCACTGACATGAATGGGAGCTGCCAAAGTGTTCTTGCATAGCTCCCATTCATATAGATTGGGAACTGTGGAAGTATTTTCCAATGGATTGTGGTTGCTAAAGAAATTATGCTGCCTCTGTGCAGGACTGTAAGTACTTATAGCTGGCTTTTCATGCAACAGATACTCACTTAAGAGAAAATGCACAGCTGGGCAGTGGAAAAATGTCACAGCTGAACAAAAAGTTATAGCAAAGACATTTCAGTTACCAAGCTAGACTTTTTAAAGTGGAAACAAATCATTAAATGTAGTGAGCAAATAACTGATAACGTATTATGGATATGTAATGTAGAGTAAAGGCCACTTTGGTAAACTTTGGTCAAATCATATGTGCAGAGATATGGTAGGTTGAGGGAAAGTCTTGAATTATTTCTGACAGGACTAAAATCTGTCTGAAATGCAAAGGGATTAATGGTGTTCCTTCCAGAACCGCACCAAATCATTTTTAAAAAGTCATTTAGAAAACATTGATACCTTGTTAACATTGCCTAGGCAAGAGAAGACAAGGCAAAGCACACAGAATTCTTAGTAAACAATACATAGAAAATTTTAGAACATTATATTGCAGCAAATACCAAGATTTCTGTGGCTTCCGAAAGAACTTTATCTTTCTTGGGCCTCAAGGATGGGTTGTTTTCTCTAGAAAGGACCCTATCATGTTAGTGTAGGGAGCAGGCAGAGGTATTGACCAAGAATATACATCAAATACAAGTCATGATGATATGTGCCATAACATCACTATGAAAATGGTGTAAGTTATATCAGGGCTTTTCAACCTTTTCACCCATTGTACCACTTTTAGGATATGGCAATATCCGAGTACCACCAGTCACCTAGCAAGGTGTCAAAAACTTGATGACCAAAAAAAAAAAGTGATAAAGTACAGGTAGTCCTCGACTTACAACAGTTCGCTTAGTGACTGTTCAAAGTTACAATGGCACTGAAAAAAGTGCCCCCCAAGGCACAGCCGAGCAAGACGCCTGCCCACCCGGCGGCGCTCTTCCTCCTGTCCAAGGTTTCCACTGTTGTGAGCATTTCTGTTGAGGATTGACAGCGGGGTTGGGGTTGGGGGTATTTGGTTTTTATTCCCCCCCATCTGCTGGGTGGTTGCAGCAGGTTTTGGTCACTTCACATGACCCTGGGAACTGTGACCGTCATAAATATGAATCAGTTGCCAAGCATCTGAATGTAAATCACAAGACCCTGGGGATGCTGCAACATTCCAGCTGATCGGCGCTTCTTCTGGGCTCAGCAGAAGCACCAGGATCAGTGCCAAGCTCCAGCTGGAGCCTGGTGCTGATCCTGGTGCTTCCGCTGAGCCCTGACAGCCCTGCAGCTCCAGCCATCTCTCACTCAGGCTTGTGCAGTGCTGCCACCGGTTCAGCTCATTCCCCTCCCCCGCTACCACTTTTCTAGGATGCTCGCGTACCACCTGCCAGGTGCCAATGTACCACAGGTGGTACCTGTACCACTGGTTGAAAAGCCCTGAGTTATATAATGTGTATCATTTGAATGATGACATCATTATTATTATTATTATTATTAATTGCATTTATATCCCGCCCTTCTCCTTTCGGACTCAGGGCGGCTGACAAATGATAAAAAGCTAACATATTACACCTAGTTAAAATTTAATTAAAATGAAATATTTGAGAATGTCCAATTTAAAAGTAATTAAAACCCCTATAAAATCCCCTAGGCCATGACTTCACTTTTGCCTTTCTCCCAGTGGATGCCGATTCGAAAACTAGTGATCACTATTGTTCTGAAGGCTAGAAAATTGTTTATCCTTCAAAACTATGGCTTTGCTAGTTTTCTAGCCCTCTTTCCAGTAATTGCCACCATTCTAAAGACTAGAGAGATTTGTAAGTTCCAGAACCGTGGCATTTGCTAGTTGTCTAGCCATAGGAAAGCTGGAAGGCTAGCAAACATGATCATTCTTGTGATCATTTGGAAGGCCCCTTCTCCAAAGTGCATGATTTGGAGAGGAAGCCTTCCAAAGATTATGAGAATGGGGCCCACCTGCAGAATGATGGAGGGTAGTCTCAGTAGGAATGCCGCTCCTTGCATCAACTGGATGTGCCTGAAGCTGCAGAAAAAGGCAAACAAAACATGAACCCAGGCATGGTGGGGCAGGGAGAGAGCCTGGGTCTCCTGGGCCCTATCGCTGATGCTCTGCTTAATGGTCTGTGCAATTGCTTAATGATCATAACTAGCAGAACCAGGATTGCAATCGCTGAGCAAAGTAGTCATGTGAGCATCTCTCTTAATGACCGCTTCACTCAGGATTGCACGAACTGGGATTCTGGTCTCAGTTGTGCTCATAAGTTGATGACTGCCTGTATACAAAACTGCTATTGATCAGCAGGAAAGAGAATTTCCATCATCTTTTATGTTTCTAAGAAAAGACTACATTCCCAGTAAATTAGGAACAAAGTATTCCAAAAATATTATATTTTACTGTACATTATCAACATGTGAGAGCTACAAAGAAAAATAAGATAGAACACTTGGCTATGTGTTCTCACTCAAACACTTTAGACTTTTTAATATTTATACTCACTTGTGTAATATCTCAGCTAAGGGAGTGTATGCACTTAGCATACACAATCAGTGCCCAAGGTACCAACATCCATATGGGAACTGCTGTTCAGTCCTATGATGATTGTGGTCCTACTCCTAACTAGCAAAATAAACATTTATGATGTGGTATACCCAAACTGACAATTTTTCAAATCAAGTGTGCTAACAAGTGTGTCATGTATTTAATTATAGCATTAATGTGACCACCCAATTCAGACAGCATGAATCTGGGTGGTCTATAAAAATCAGCAAACAGCAAATGCAAGAGAAAACAACATATACTACATTTTCTGAAAATGCTTTCCTTTTTTCGTTTCCCAGCTGCCTTTGTTATTGAAAATAATGATCTTAAAAGAGCAGCATTTGGCACTCTGCTGCATGTTTCCCATTTCAATGAAGGGATACATCATAAAAGATTGAAAGTGATCCCCAATTTCTCAGGAATGCCACTTTAAAATTGTATAAATGTAGACATGCTGCCAATCCAGATGCACAGCCCGAACACTTCCTTTACATATGCTACTTATTTTGTTGACATTTATCAACAGTCACTTTATTTTTAAGGGTTGCTCCAGAATAGTTTATTAACCAGAATTTGATAGACTAACATTTTGAATTATTTATTCTCTGAAGAGCGATGGAGAAATCTTATTTTCTGCTAAAAGTCAAGTGAGCAGTAATGAGAACAGTGAAGAATATGACCTGAGAACATAGTAAAAAAGTGAAGTTACAGATGGCATCTTCACAGTGATATACTGCAAGATAATATTTTGCGATTGTCTTTTAAAATACATTTTCATTGCTGTAGGTTTGTTTACTTGCCTTTTCTTTGTTTTCTTGCCTAACATATAATGAGCTGAAAGTACAGAACTTCTGAAGGCTTCATGTGGAGCACTACCAGAAAATATTGAATGAAGGGAAGATCTATATCTTAGGTTCTGACAGCTGTATCCACTCTGTCCACTGCCAATGTGACTTCAAGTATTGGCTTGCCTCCTTCTTCTATGACACAAAACTTCTTTTGCTTCCCTTTGTGTTTTGATATCTGAAGAATGTTTATAAGAAATACAGAGTCCAAGATAATTCTGCTTTGGCTCCCAGACTTAAAAGGAGTTGCTTAGTTCTACTATCTTTTAAGTGCACCATTAGGCAGTCTTGTTCTCAATAACATATATACATGTCTCACCATTTCCTGGCATAAGAATGGGACTGTGGTAGAAAGATTGTTTTTGATAGAGAAGTTTCAAAAAATAATTCCATATGAATTTGACACTTTTAAAAAGTGTTTTACTAGACAGCCTGTGACCTACTGGGTTATTGTTCCAAATATATTTCTTTACCAGCAGAGAAACAGAATGACCACGAGTAAGAGTGACTTCCAATTACTGCTAATTTCCTATTGAGTTTCCTTGTGGGAAGCTGGCAGGGATCATTGGAAACGATGATCATGTGGCTTCGACCATGACAGTGTGGTGGCACTGAAATGGTCACACTTTTGCCAAATTTCAATTCCATGGGAGTAATGAGTCCTGGGTTTTGGATGCATTCTTTAAGTTAGTCCATTTAAAGCACATTGATTAAAAAATGGTTGCCCTATGAGGCACCATTTCGCCCAATTGAAAGTTACAAACAGACAAACTGGAGAGTTTTAGTAGTATATACATCTTAAGATTCTCCTCAACCAATTCACTCCAATTATTTTTACGTAGTTTCCAAGCCATTTTAATACTTTAAAATAAGAGCCAATGCTCTTTTCTAATCATAGTCTAGAAAGATTATTTTGATTTTGAAAGCATCTTCCTTCATCTTAGTCTGGGATCAGAAGAGATTAGGTGAACCCTTTCTCAATGCAGCTCTTCTATGAGCCCTTAAAAGAGCTGGATCATTGATTCTCTTGATTTTCCAACTCCAACCCATTTAACTGAAGAGATAAAAGAGAAATAATCAGAAACTATTGTTCAGTGAATAAATAACATAATGAAATATATTACAGGTAGTCCTTGTTTAACAACTGGTCACTGGCCATTCAAAGTTACAATGGACCTCCCCAAAGCTACTTTCAACCCATTTTCAAAGTTTCAATGGCCACGTACATAAACCTCCACAATCACAGGGCTGCATTTTTGGGCACTTGGCAACTGGTTCACATTTATGGTCATTTACAGCATCTCATGGTCATGATTTTTGGTGGGTTTTTTTTTTTTTTTTGCTAGTTTCCGGCTTTTATTTCCAGTTTCTGGCAAAAAAAAAAGTCTTTGGGGAAGACTTAATGACCGTGATGCTTGCTTAACAACCACGGCATCCATTCAATGACCACCACAAAATGGTCGTAAAATTGAGCATGGTTATTTGTGACCCGCTTAATGACCACCACAATTTATGACCATGATTCTGGGCACAGTTATAGTCTTAAATTGAGGATTACCCATGTAGGCTATAATCCTAGAGGGTAAATTAAAGAATCCAAATTCAAAAGCAATTAGCTATAAGGTAGCCATGTAATAAAAGTTGTTTGTTATCTGGCAGGAAGCAGCAAAAAAAAGTAGCATTGTTTATATATTATTTTTTTTAAATATGACAATTTTGTTTCACTGCTGCTGTTCAAATACTATGGCAAAACACATTATATGCTTCTTAGGCAGTGAAGTATTAGCAGTGGTATTATTTAATCAGCAAGTCTCTTCTGACAAGTGCCATGAATTAAGTTAAAGTTGAACAGTTATGGATCATATGCAGATACTAAACACATTTGGAATATCTGCAGAGCAAGAAATCTACCATATACTAGTTTCACAAAGGCATGACAATGATTCTAATTAATTTTTCTTTTAGCAATAGGACCCCTAATCTATCTCAATTCCCAGAAAACTGCTGCTTTGTCTAACTGGCAAGAACCTTTCTGAGTACAACTTAATAAACATAGCAAACTCTGTTAGAGCAGTAATGATGAAAATACATACTTGACACACCAACATGGTTTTCCACAAATCTAATGTAATTTTGTGCCTTAGGTGGAAGGTCCTCCCATTTTCTGGCACTAGTTGTGTCAGTTTTCCAACCTGGCATTGTTTCATATTCCACTTCCACTTTTTGCAATATTTCCTGATTAGCTTTAAAAGTGAAAAAGCAACTATTCAGGTTATAAGAAACATGTAATCATTATTTAGCATTCACACTTAAAAACATAATAGACAAACCTTTAACCTAATCTTGGAAGCTTTCACTCCTTTAGTGACCATTGGTCTCAAAAGCTCTTTTTCTTTGCTTTTAGAATAAATCAGATTGTATAGAACAACCAGGTGAGGTCTTTACCGAATAATTGCCCTACTTTTTAAAAACAAATATTTTATTGGGTTTATATGAATAAGGAAAAAACTAGGAACAATACAGGTATGGGGAAAGAAGGGAATGGGGAATTGCCCTACTTTATTCACAGCAGTTAGGTGTCATTTTCTTGAGTTCAGAAAGACAGAATAACTACAATTTTCTATTTGTATAAAAGTATTTTTAGTGAAATAATGGAGAAAATTATTGGCACTCATTTTACTAATATGAAGTCTGCTTGTAGGCTGGTTTGCAGAAGTGGCAATGTCACTGGTTATATATAAGTTCTGTAATAGTTAACAGATAAAAGAGAGGGGGAGAAGGCCTGATCCTCTCAGCTCTTAATTATTAACATTACAGAAAGAGTATACGATGTGATGCACAAAGGTGTCAAAATGCACACATACAAACCTGTCCTTTGAAAATTGTCAGGTTTCTGTGTCACATGTCCTTTTAAATGCCTTTCAGATTATTATTTTTTAAAGGAAAACTGGCATGCTATGAAGTCCAACCGCAGTTTCTGTATGAGTTCTAAGACTTTCTTGGAAATTAAAAATTTTGAAGGGCTGCAGCCATGTGCTTATTTAGAAGTCTTCTTTATCCTTTCCAAAGGATGCCAAAAAATTGGACGGGAAATGGAAATGGGGAGCAAAATCATTATCAGTTTTGTGTCCTGGTGTTTTGGGGACTCCTGACCTAATTAAACTTTTCAGCCTAGTTCAAAGTAATATATTCAGTTAATAACATACCTGGGAAGTATGGAATTCTTTTCCCATCTAGCCTGTAGGCCACACCAATTTTGATTTCGTCAAGGACATCCAGAATATCGAGTTTTGTCAATGCCAAACTGCCCAGAAAATATTAGATAGATATTAGTCTCATCCAACACTTCCTTGAATCCCTTCTACCTGTTTTTATGTTTATGGGATATCCCAACAGCATGAATGTTCTGTTCTATCACAGGAAAAAATGTTACAAGGCACATAAAGTTTAAATTAATATACTCTACATGTTAAGAAGCATTTTGCATACTAAGGTGTGAATCATAAAATAAATTTTAGCTATATACAAATGATGAGAATTTAGGTATGGCACTTAAGAATTAAATGTTCAGTATTTTAAAAACTTGTGCATAGTGTGGATGGTTATATTTTTTTTTCAAATATGAGCAATCCACAGATAGCAAAATTATTTTTTAAGTTTCAAGAATTCAGAACCTATGTTAAGAGCGATTTACAGGCCAATCATAGATATCATTTGGCCTATCTTTACTTCCATTAATTTTAGTTAATGCTAAGCACCATTCCACATCAGTCAGAATTTAAAATAAACATTGTGTAACCCCAGTGGTGGGATTCAAATATGTGAACAACCAGTTCTCTGTGTGGATGCCGCTTCCAGAAGTCCATTCTGGGCAACAAAAAATTAGCTACCGGTTCTGCCGAAGTGGTGCGAACCGGCTGAATCCCACCACTGTGTATCCCTTTCCTGATATATTTCAGATTGCAAGACCAAACAGTAATGCAAAAATTTATGCACAGGCAGAAATAGCAAGTATGTACCATGTAAACATCACTTTCTATTTCCTTCTTCTTTCTGCTTTATAGCTCCTAAAATGACTGCTGTTTATTGAACAGTACTATTGACCCAAGAAGTTTAACCCCACTGAAGAAAAAAATTATTTTCTTTGGGATAAGGTGTTACTGTGTTTCTTATCATAATATAAAACATAACTTTGCTGGACTAATTATAATGTTACCTACATATTTGTACTCCACCGGGCAAAAAGTTATGAGTTCCAATTGTAGGTCAAAATCTGTGATGCTTACGCAGTAAATCCGTTGATCATATGAGCGTATCTCAAAATGACAAGATCTAGCCAGCCACAACGTCTTTTCCTGCCTGTAGTCACACCCCATTCATGACCTCGTGACTGTAAAAGGTCTCCAATTTCCTACCAGAGACAAAGATACCCAGGAGATTGGAATAGTGGTCATAGCTAAGTGTCAAAAGTCATTAGTAACTGAACTATGTCATATCAAAAATACATGTGTTTTTTTTAATCATTTAGAAGACAAAGAAGGTTCAACATGGCACACCAAGACAGACAATTTTCCAATTGTCTTTGGAAATTTTCCAAAAGGCCATTTTTTCCCTTCATTTAGCATTAGTTAGGGTTGGATTCCAGTTCCAAGCTGGTACATTATGGTTGGTGTTTAGCCCTAAAATCAGACTTAGAAACTTATTCCAAACCATGATTGATGTAGGGTAATAACTGTAGATTATAGCATTTGTAAATGTATATATCAAAGCACTTAATATATGCATGAAAGAAAGGTACATAAGAAAGCAGAAGAGAATGCAAAATCCAAACCTCATTTAGTCATTAAAATCATACTTTGGATTTAGAATATTGTGTATTTTTAATTCAATTCTAAATGCAGAATTTGGGGTGCAGTTCTCTATGATGCTCATTTCCCCTCAATAGATTATTGATTAAATTTGTGTCCCACCTATACTCCATGTGACACTGGATTATTTTACCCTATTCTACTACTTTATCCACTATTTCAGTGGCATTTATGAGCTACAGTAAAAAAAATAATTTTAAACAAATTAAGAACTCCAAATTGAGAGAATGAGGGAGTTTATTCGGGTGCTGACAAAAGTTTCTTAAATTAGATTCACATCAGGATGCCTCTTGTAACAAGACATTTGAAAACATGCTATAAAATAGAGCTGTGATGGTGGTGGGGAATCACATTTTAAAGAAAATTAAGACAATTGGGAGAGCAAGTTATACCATCTGCACACATTTTCTATTTTATAATAAAGTTTGAGATTGGCATAACTGTAGCTTGCATGTATCAGCACAGGACCATTATAACATCCTAGGGTGAGCAATTGATTTTCCCAAGGGGCCATATGAGAAACTGGGATTGTTGTGGAGGCTCAAACCACTAGGCTTCCTGTTGCTCTTTGCTGGAAATCTTGTCGGCCCCATTGTGGTTAGAGTTGAGCTCCTTCTTGGTGACTTTGGCCGCTGGAACCAACATTTTGAGGGAGGTAGAAATGTAGAGCCTCTCCTCGCCTCTGACCAGACTGGCCCAGCTGCCACTCTTCTGCCACCATCACTGCACTCCTGCTAAATCCTGGCTATGCTCCACCTGCTCGCCCGCAAGGCCTCGCTTTCACCAAGGTGGTGGTGGGTGGACGAGCCTGTGTCCCCCTAAATCAGTGGTTCTCAACCTTTTTAATGCCGCGACCCCCAACCGGTTGTAAGTCGAGGACTAAACCGGTCATAAGTTGAGGACTAAACCGGTCGTAAGTCGAGGACTACCCAACCGGTCGTAAGTCGAGGACTTTCCCTGCCTGGGAGTGCCGCGCATGCGTGGTTCCGCCTCCTGCGCCAGCCGAGGCGTAGCTGGCAAGCAGCAGAGACGGAGCAGGCCGACCACCAGCTGGCCCAGCTCAAGGGAGGTAAGGCACCCGCCGGAAAAGGGGGAAAAATGGTGGACAGCCTTGCTTGGCAACCCCCGTGAAATGGTCAATCGACCCCAAATGGGGTCCCGACCCATAGGTTGAGAACCACTGCCCTAAATGATGATTGCTGTTGTCTCCTCAGGCTACTCCAGGCAAGGGGTGAGCGCTGCACAGATACAGAAAAGCGCTTTCTGTCCTCCCCCCTTTCAGCTGACTGAAGAAGTGCATGGCGACTTCAGAGACAGACTCAGCTTCTCCTGCTCCCTGCGGTGCACTTATTTACATTTTATTTCTAATTTCCGACTGACCTCATAGGAATGACCAAAGGGCCAGATGTGGCCTGGGGGCTGTAAAATGCTCCAGTCTGTATTATCCTATGCTTATTTTAGTTTATTTGTACTATTTTAATTATATTAGCAAACTTACATTTATTTGTTCAGTTGGAAAGGCTCCAATTCCCACTCTTGTTGTGTAGGCTTTTACTACTCCATAAACTTCTCCAATATACTGAGGAGGAATGCCCAACCCAGTGCATACACCACCCACAGTGCAGTTTGATGATGTCACAAAAGGATATGTGCCTAGCAAAAAGCAAAAATTAGAAACATTCTGCTTTAAAAAAAAAGAGTGCACTTTATTTCGAACAGCTGTTCAACATATCACTTTCTTAAAGAACTTTAAAGATCAGGGGATCACATGAACATGTGCTGGAGAAATCTGCATAGTCCAGAAGGTTTATCAAGCACATTATGCTCTTCTATAGTATTAAATATTGTTACATTTAACATCTATTTGCAGGTAATGCTCACTTATCAACCACCCGTTCAGCAACTGTTCAGAATTATGTCAGTGCTCAATGAGGAGACTTACAACTTTTCCTCATACTGGCGGCAGTTATACATCCCCACAGTCACATGATCACAATCTGGGTGCTTGACAAGCAGCTTGCAGTTATGATGGTTGCAGCATCACTGCTGACTTCCAACAAGCAAAGGCAACTGGGAAGCCAGAAGGAGGTTGCAAATGGTGATCATGTGACATTGTGCTTAACTGTGCGGAATTCACTTAACAATGGCAACCAAAACTGTTGCAACTGCTGTTGTGAGTTGGTGCAGTCATGCTTAGCAACAGAGTTGCCAGTCCTAATTACAGCTGTAAAATGAGGAATAACTATGTGCTTATAAGATGATGCTGTACATTTGGTTCCGGAAGGCAACAAATTAAACAAATGGTCTAATAAGCCAACTGAGAAGAAAGCACATCTCTACAGCACAAAATTCCTTCTTGGAACTCGGCTCGTAATCTTTACTCACTTGCATTCTAAAAGAGGTAGTATGTTCTCTCACATTGAGTTCTAAACAAGATGCACTTTGGGATACTCTGATATGATTGGATCCGAATTAAGTCATAGTTATAATATGCTCACTGAAATCACCATCAATTTCAATTACTCTCTGCATGATTAAGACTCACGATCATGCAAAATATGCATGTTTAAGAGTGTATGAAAGGATCAACTAACCACCATTTCTCCCAGTGGCCTGTCAGGCTTCAAGAAAGACATGCTTTATTTCTCATCTGTGTGCATTATTCTTTCTCATCAATATGCATCTTACTTATTAAATAATAATATAACCCTTCTCATATCTACATGCATGGACAAAATAATTTATTACACAGATTTCTATCTAGATAGACAACCATACATTGTACAAACTGACATACCGAAATCAATATCAAGCAGTGCTGCATTGGCACCCTCCACCAGAATTTTCTTAGAAGGGCCGTGTAGTGCTTCATACATAAAATAAACTCCATCTTGGACCATTGGTCTTATTGTTTCAGCATATCCCTGCAATATTCCATATATATAAAAAGTTACTTTATTTCTCCTATATTGGCTGAAAGTTAAGAATAGAAGCATATCAGAAGCCAAACCAGAAAATCACAATTTTGAGACAATTGAGGTAAAATTATACAGACAGATTGCTAACTGTGATAGACTAGCTAGACACTTTAAGAATAAGATTGATTATATTTATAATGGCAAATTTTGAAGTTTTGCCAGTTTAATCTGCAGAAGAATAAATGGCATTATCTTGTCAGATTTTTTTGGATGACTTTGGGCTTTTAAAGATCTGAAGATGGTTGGAAATGTTGGACCCCTTCAGAGTGGAACAGTTATCTCCCATAACTACAGATAATCCTGGACTTACAACAGTTCATTTAGTGACCATTCAAAGTTACATCATCACTGAAAAAATGACTTATGACCGTTTTCACACTTATAACCGTTGCAGCATTCCCATGGCCATGTGATCAAAATTCAGATTGTTGGCAACTGTCTCACATTTATGACAGTTGAAGTGTCCCGGGATCATGTCATCACATTTTGCTACCTTCTGACAAGCAAAGTCAATGGATAAACCAGATTCATTTAACAACAGTGTTACTAATTTAACAACTTCAATGATTCATTTAACAACAGTGGCAAGAAAGGTCATAAAATGGGGTAAAACTTATTTAACAAATTCTTTACTTAGCAACCTAAGTTTTGGGCTCAGTTGTGGTCATAAGTTGAGGACTACCTGTAATTGCATATAGGACAAAAATATTCAGCTGAGTCCAAGAGGTTATAAATTCTTCTTTAGGTGAAGGAGTTTATCCAATCATAATGACATCTCAGAAGCTTTCACCATCATCATTAATCATGACATTCTCCTGGAAAGATAACCCAACCTTTTGGGTTATCTATTCTGTTAAAATCCAAAGTCTCCAGATAGAAATGTTAGAGGTTTACCTTTAGTTTTTTTAGTTGCCCATCTATGTCAACTTCTAAAGAAGGAAACATTGACTTGTACTGGTGAGCCAAATTTTTAAATCTGCAAAACATCAACAATTAGCAGCACATGACACCAGTTAGATTAGAGAAAATGTTTAAAAATGTATCAAATATGTGTTGGAAATGTAAACAACAACCAGGCACTTATTACCATCTCTGGTGGATATGTCCTAATGCTAAAAAGTTTTGGTTTAAGATTCATATGTGGCTAGAAGAGATGATTAAAATACAGATAGAATTTAAACCAGAACTCTGTTTGTTAGGAATATTAGGTTTGAATTAGGGAAAAGAGAATGAGTATTTAATACTGCATGTGCTGACAGCCGCAAGAATAATATTTGCCCAATTTTGGAAAAATGAAAATTTACCATCTGACCAGGTTATAATAACAAAAATTTGTGATCTTTAATAATATGGTAAACTAGAATTAATATGTAATATATTATCTTAAAGTGATTATAATTAATATTAAGCATTGTTAAATAGTGAAATGAATGAGATTTATTGACTAATTTGTTATTTACATGATTAATGGACAGTTGTTTAATAATAGAGTAATTATTAAGATTTAATATATAAACCCGGACTGGTAGACTTGCTGAAGCGATGTTATTTTGTGGGATTAATCCCACTTTTGTGTTACCCCTTTCCCTTGGTCTAGCCTTTTTGTATGTTTCCCGTTGTCTTATCCTTTTTGACCCTATCCCTTTATTACCCTTATAAAACTCAATAAAAATATTTTTTTAAAAAAATTAGCAGCATACACTGTGTACATAGTTATTTTAAACTGCATTTTCCCTACAAATCACAGGCAAAAAATATCTTGTGAAATATGTATAAAGCCCAGGTTTTATGTTCAAACAGGTTTTTAAGTGTCAAAGTGCTGATACTTTGTTTCTCGAATAAAAGATTATTTAAGGTAAACAATGCCTCGAAGTTCTTTTGAAGAGTTTCATTTGTTGGAACCATGACATTAATCAGAATTTATCTTGTTAAAGTCAATCAAAGAAATATTTCTCCAAATCCGGTTCATTTTCAATAATATATGCCCAACTATCTACACAGTTCCCCACAGAGCACACTCACACATACTTTCCCTTCTGTGTCTTAAGAGTATACAAAAAGTTCCCATCCAAAAGGTTCCTTGCTGTGCAGTCGACAAGAATACCTTGATGAAAATTCACTGAAGTCTGAAAGAAGATCGCAAATCCGAAGTCCTGTCCGTGCAGCTTTGGAAGAATAAGTTGGTCCAATTCCTTTTTTTGTTGTGCCAATGCTAGCGACAAAAGACAATTGAGTAGAATCAACTGTTGAACTATTCAGTTATTTAGTAATACAAATATTTCAACATGTCTCGTAATAGGAATTGTTTAAAATGTATAGTCTGGATGTGCATGCATGCAGGCATGCATTAGAAAACTTTTAACTTTTCAGATGCAGGATAGATCCAGGAGACCCTCTTTTTATTACACAGTTTTATTTTCTTTTGAGAAATCAAACGAAATTGGGAAAAAACACTTGACACCCCTATTTTTTCATGCTTGAATAGAAGAAAGTTGTATGGATTGCATAGATCCTCTCACTGAACAATATTATTTTGGAAGTCAAGGGGGATGCCAAAATCCAACACTTTTGGGAAGACTGGTATAATTGGAATAACAATATTATCTCATGTTCCATCAACTACCGACTTCACCTTTACAATGTCTTTCTTTTAGGGAATCCAGCAGTAGCTATATTACCACACATTGATTAATTGAACTGGACCAGAAAGCTATGCATGTACAAGTACTTTTCCATACTGTACTGTGTGCCAAGGTTGCTATGAGGATGCTTCCTTTCATTACTTCACTGCCAGTTTTTTTCAGGGTTGTTCTAAATAGATTAACTGGCTATCATTTTCCAGCTCAGTGACCTATCAAATATAACCTCCAGCACAGAGACATAACTGTGGTCAACTAGAAGGGAAAAAAGCATGTCAGTAACTATATCGTCTTTTCTCAAAACATTGGAAAAGTTTACCAATAATTACTTGAGTATGAACAATCTTTTACTCAGAACTGATTTTCCCCTTACCATGTGCAATTCTGACACTATATGGGGATTGATTCCTAGTGACTATATCAGTAAATACGAATGTGACCACCTTTAATAATAAAAGAGATTTTTCTACTCTATGATCCATTTATGTCACGTCACCTCATAATCAACCTTAATATCGTCTGAGGCTGATTCTGGCAGTTCAAAATACTTTTAAAATCCAAATCCCTAATACAAAGGTGCCTTTTTGTTCATTGTTCAGCTTTTATGACCTTACTATAATACTAATTCAGCAGCGGCAGTACTATAACTGAACAAACCTGAAGAGATTCTCACACAGAATCAGGGCAGTAATGCTATGTCACTAAATTTGCCTCAGGAAAGATAATATATATGATTCATTGTCTAAATTTTATATTAGCGTGTCCATAGCTTTATCATTCTCACAAAGAGAGAATAGCAAGATTGTGTGCTGTGTCATGAAGAGCTGCCACATTCTAAAGTGCAGATTCTACAACATATGTAGATAGAAAGAAGGCAGCAAGATAAAAAAATATGGGCATCAGATGTAGAATGACATTCAAGTCCTTCACTAAATAAAAACCTCACCACCTGATCTGCCTCACCATGCACTTCTTGTAAAGCGTATTCATTTTCTTCAGAACAGATACTAGCTGTACAGTTTTTATTGGTGCATCCCTTTTATATAGGCACAATCCATGTGACATATATGCATGACATATATAGGGATCAGAGTGTTCTTATACCATTTGTGACTCTTGAAGATTTAAAACTCATTTGTGCATGCATGCTTGTAAGTTGATATTTTAAGCGAGAACAGCCAAAAAAAAAGTAACAGAATCATTGCATTACATTGCATTTTATATGCTTTCTTTCCAGACTTATGCCACATCTAGTAGCAGAATTCAAGTATACCAAGATATATAATTACTTTTTCCCCTCTTGTGCTTGACGCTGCACTTCTTGAAGTCCATCAACTGCTTGGTGAAAATCAAACACTGCATAGCAGAGAAAAACCCGCATGAAGAAGATTTGAAGGAGATAAAACAAAGTTTGATTTTCAAATATTTCATATAATTATGCTTTTAATGTTCTAACAATGAAGGAATCAAGCTGGTGTAATTGTTAGCAGCATTGTACTTAAAAATAAAGAAATTTCCCATGATGCCAAAACAATCTTAATTTTAATTTACCATCTGTTGCATCAAATATATTAAAATAAGAATTACGTGTTCATATTCAAAGATATGAAGATTGCTAAATTACCTTTTTTAATTAGAGAAAAGAAAGTATCTATATTTATGGCTAACTGGAAAACTCTTGTAGACTTTTTGCATGAAACAGAAAAAATGCATTTATAACTTGCAGTTTTCATGATTAGAAAAAGGCTGGATAATTGAAAAAGCTTTTTTTGTAATCATAGAGTAAGAGATAACTTTGCAATCATACTTGTATTTGCTGCAAAGGATTAATAAGCTTCTTTCAATTTCTTTTTATATTTTTTTCTGCACTTTATTTCTTTTTTCTTTCTCTTTCTTTGTTCTCTCAGCAGGGTCTGTGTCTCTTTAAGAGCCTTTGTATAAAGGGAAGGCTCCGCTAATGTGTTCTCTCTCTTCCATTTCCTGCTGTAACTGTGGTGTGTTGGATCCTGCTGTATTAGCACGTGTATGTATATTGTTCCTGGTGTATGATATTGTAGATAGTGTAAGATAAACCACTATTTAATATAGACGACAGTTTACTGTGTTTACTCCTGGGTTATCTTGCGCAATAAGACTGTGCATGCTCTGACAATGCTGTATTAGTTTGTGTTAGTTTTTATGTTCTCATTAAAACTTTTAATAAGATTTATACAAAAATGATACAAAAATATGAACTCTTCCCAGTACAAATAAAATTAACAATATGAAAAAGTTGTATGATTTGTTTTTTCTCTCTGAATACTACTTACCAATATGTGCTCTGTCTGATATTATAAGCCTTTTCTCCCAGTCTCTTAATCCTATGAGAAAAAATGTGTACCAGTTAGAAGAATGTGGCTATAGAGCAGGGGTGTCAAACTGCCGGCCCGTGGGCCGGATGCATCATGCCAAAACTTTGGCCACCCCAGCTCCGGCAATGGGGAAAAAGACACGATATGTCATGACAAGTCACGTGACATGGCGAGTTTGACACCCCTGCTATAGAGGATTGAACAATCTAGAGCAGGGGTGTCAAATTCGCAACGTCACGTGACATGGCATGACATATCGTGACTTTTTTGCCCTTGCCGGCAATGGGGTAGGCACGGTTTTGTTATGATGCATCCAGGCTGCGGGCCGGCAGTTTGACACCCCTGATCTAGAGCAGTCTTTCTCAACTGGCAACTTGAAGATGTATGGACTTCAACTCCCAGAATTCCCCAGCTAGCCCAGCATGCTAGTTACCCAGGATGAAAAACATCTTAGAGCAATAATATTCAGTGTGGCATGCACAGGTCCAATATCACAACTCATAGGGCAGAGCTTGTTTATCACCAGGGATGCATTTACAGTCACTAAAAGTGTCTTTCAAGGAAATATAACTTGCCATCTCTTTATTTTTTTTCAGCCTGGACCTCTTGTCTATAATAACTGAGGTAGGTATCCATTTTTTCTGTTTTTCGAACTTTACAATAACCCTTTAATGGTTTTTTTAAAGGTTGAGTGCCATTATTGATAACAAGCCCCTCTTTTTGAAGAAAAATATTAGGTACAAACCTTTCTTCTCATTTTTTTCAGCTTCTTCAAATAAGCCAGGTAAATGTATAACCACTCCATTACCTAAAAGGTATACACAAAACTTTCGCTGTAAAAGCAAGACATCAAATATCCTCCTTAAAAAGATAAGCATTAAGCAAACACAGCTATTCTTACGTCAGAAGAATTTATAACAGATTGAGGGTTTTTTTCAGCTTTTCTAATTAAAGTTTTAATTGGGGTAATTAGAGAATGGACTATTGAGTTAGGATCTCTTCCATATTATAAGGTTGCACTTTGTTGTGTGCCTCTGCCTTCTCCTCTAAGGAAGGTTACAGAGATTAATGGCAAAACTTTTTTTTCTCTGTCTCTCAGACAATCTGGCAGCTGGCGTTTATCTAGCTGGAAGACTTTGATTTATCTTTTGGCATAGTCTGCCATCCTCATTGGATACCCTCTGCATTGGTTGAGTGGCTGTCCACCAATTCCATTCAACCTTTTCTGGTCTTCAATGCACTTCTATAAATTGCTTTGTGGACATTGAACCTTTGGAACTGATGAGCTTTCAGCAGTATTAATACTGACCAGGCTATTTTAGGCTTACCAGCCAACTTTTCTCTGTCCCATAACCAACAGTCCATCTTCAACAGCCATTTATTGTCTACTCCAATTTAATCCAAATCTCTATTCCTCTAGAATTTTTTCTGATGTTTTCTAAGATTTTCCTCTGGAAGCTGGCTTAATCTAGTATCTCCTCCTTTGTATGGTATGTGGGAAAGACCTTGGGAGCCTGGATCAAGATATGTTGCCAAAGGAATGGACAGATAAGAGATAGCATAACCCGCAACTGAATAGTGGGCAGGACAAGAGGCTCGGAAGAGATCCTCCCTAGTTTCTTGGGCTATAAAGGAGATGTGGCGAGACATGTACTTTCAGACTTGCATGATACTATCAATGTAGCTTTACAATAAAATAGAATTAGCTCATCCTGTTGCAATTTCTATCTTGTTTTCCCCACAAGACTAACATCAGTTTTGTAACTCTCAAAGTGAGACTTTGCAAAGGCTCAAACCACTTGCAGGCTGTGCTGTATCTTACGCGACCATTCCCTTGGCAGTATTTCTTGACCCAATCTCCCAACATCTTTCCCAGATACCATCATTCCTTCTCTGCTATGACAGAAAGATTCCTATGGGAATCTAAACTAAACGTTCAGCTTCTTGAGATCAGGAAAGAGTACCACTTGCCTCCCCGCCCCCCAATGTTTGTTTAGGTTACAGCATGGAAATCTGAGTATAAGCCAGAAATGAGATGTGACAACTGCACGTACATCACAGTCTTTCATCTTCACATCATATCTCGTCTGCTCCAAACATAAGACTATATCTAGCATGTGCCCATTCATGGATACTGCAGCCAAGATTACATGGGACAGGTCCATGGTTGCCAGGGAGCCCATAAACTTATAAGCTCTATAGATTCCTCTCTCAAGACAAGGAGACTGAAGTCCTCCTAGATTATCAATATTAGGAGTTGAGATGACATCCAGAAACTCAGGCAGGTTGCTGCTGGATTCTAGCTAGTTTGTATACCAATACTAACACAGTTTATCTCTGTGGCCCAATTCCACATATAAGCATTTGTAGCCAGCCACCTTCAAGGCAGTTCTCTTTGGTACTGTATTGAGAAAATCTCTGTACTATCACAGCCATTCCTTCTGCCTGACCAATGTGTTGCAGGACCTGAAACTTAGCTCAGAATATTTTTGATACATATGTTGTACATAGTATGTTTAGGTGTGGGTCATGTATGTGTTTCACTTTGAGAGCGGGCAACTAAATTTCATTTTTGATGTGTGCCATTGTGCCCACAGTAAAAAAAATGACAATAAAGGTTATCTTATCTTATCTTATTCTGTCATTGCCCAATTCGGTCTTAGCAAATATTATAGATGGACAAAATCTTATTCTACACTGATTTGGCATTTACCAGTAGCAGCTAGAGGCCAATGCACCTAATAGTGCCATCACTTGGGTCCAGATCTGGGACATTTGGCTTGGAAAAGGCCACTTCTCCTATAATGGCAAAATGTAACTAAATATGAATGAAAATTAGATATAAAGTGTGATTTTTAATAGCTGTTCTACGTTCTTCTGAACATTAAAAAATTTCAGTCACTTGTGCTGAATCTTAACTATTTCTTCATTTCTTTGTACTGAAAAGGCACAGATAAAAGGTCAGAGTTTCCTCAAAATCTGAAAATGAAATAAAAATGTAGAAGTTATTTTATCTTTAATTTAAATTCAGTCAGACTTATTCCTCCATACTGAAAAGGATAAGACATAAATGTTGCTGAAGTAAAGAATAAATTTGTATTTGGATCTTATGAATCTGAATGGAATACTTACCAATAAAAGAAACAGCCTTAGGATTAATTATACCACTAGGAAAGAGATGAAAATCGTATTCCTTCCCATCAACAACGACAGTATGACCTGCATTATTTCCACCCTGCCAAAAATAAAATAAGATATTTAGTAATTTTTCATTTATTACTACTTTTATTACTACTGGTGAAGAACATATCTACTGCCAGCAAGACAGAAATTTGTTATGGTACTGCAGCAGAGATAGATATTATGTCCTTAGGCTGCTTGTCTACTTTTCCTCCAATCATCATTTGAGCATCACCCAGGTTTCTTGAATAATATGAAGATATATGGATAGTAAAAGGGTGGAAATAGTTCCAGACAGAAAAGAGACTGTACAACTAGCTTCCCACTTGTCCTATAAATTGAAACCAACTAGCTGATGGGCATCCAGGTCTGTAACTTGTGGCCCAAGTTTATTTTTAATTTTTATTTATTTATACACCACCATTATTATTTTTATAAATAACTCAAAGTGGGGAACATATCTAATACTCTCCTCTCCTCCTATTATCCCTGCAACAACAACCCTATGAGGTAGGTTGGGCTGAGTGAGAGTAACTGGCCCAAAGGCAACCAGCCAGCTTTCATGCCTAAAGCATCAAACTCTCAAACTCCTGGTTTCTAGCGTGGTATCTTTACTGCTAGACCAAACTCGCTCTTTTATATTTTTCTATTATAGTGATTGAAACTGACAGTTGGGGAAATCACCTCTTATTTTTTGAATACTGCAAAGAGGATGGCTAGTGGAGGCTGACCTATGACTACACTTTAGAATTTATTCATCCTAAATGAAACTCAAATTAATATGGTAATAAAGCAGTAATGTCCCCAAACACATCTTTGATCACACTCACAAGAAGTTAGCTTATTTCAGCTTCAAGATTAGGTGCAACACAGCATTATAGATTTTACCACCCTGAAGCTGTGGTACAACAATGATGACTTAAGCAGGGGTAGGCAACCTTGACTCTTTTATGACTCGTGGACTTCAACTCCCAGAATTCCTGAGCCATTCTGGGAGTTGAAGTCCACGAGTTATAAAAGAGCCAAGGTTGCCTACTCCTGACTTAAGGAAGAAAGTAGCATTTAAAAACAGGACACCTTGTGATAATTTAAGGTATTTCATCCATGGGCTGGGACAAAATGAGGGCAGTACTGTATCATGGAAAGACTGGCATTGCCAGGGCATAACTGTGTCCTGATAAACTTCAAATCAGGCCATGGCCTTATAGTGTTACCATTAACCTTTTGAGATAGAAGCAATTTCCCATTAAATATTTATTTTAACATTTTATTTAAGCGAAGTGTAATGCACTTAAATGAAAACACATTTAACTGAGGTCCATAGTGACTACTTTTATCAAAAGGCTTGAAAGTACTTGCCTGTAAGACCTGCCAGCTCAAAACAATAATGTCAATGTTAAACTTAAATGGTTAAAACCTGCAAAACCGCCTAGACCTGAACTTAACTGTGGCTAGTTTTAAATCAACCAACAAATGGCCAGGGGATTTGTTCACTGTTACACAGATCGATTTCATAAGTTGGGCCTTTTGTGTCTTCTATATCTACATGTCAGATCAAAAGACTATACTGATAATACACTCAGGATTTACTTAAAAGCTTTCTTATTAGTTTTCTTTCCCATAATTTCGTATCAGCTACAGGATGATACAGCACCAGGGCTAAAAGAAAAACTTCCATTTCCTTTTCTGACGTTATAGTAATATTAACACCACTCTGCTGACTTCTACTTTCTTAGAGAACTAAATAGCTGAAGTAATTACATTTTGCTATTAATTTACCTGCAAATCATAGAAAACAAAGAAAAGGATAAAACAAATGTCATTTGTTCTTAGTTTGACTGCTTCACCTGTTACACAGAACAACAGAATTAGATTTTATTTATTTATTTATTTAACCCATAGCTGAGCTTGCAGTACAAAAAAAGAGACAACCTTGTTTTCTGAGAGGGGTTTGGTAACTTTAAACTTGACCTTTTCATGGAATACGGATGATCCTGCTGCAATTTCATAAATACCCAAGGAGAAAACCAAGTTTAAAATAGCAATGTCACCATTTTTTTCCTCTTAGAGCAAGCAGGTGCTTAACAGATGCTAGGTCCATAAGTTTCTATTTTGTATCAGTTTACTTGGCTTTTAAAAATAAGTCATCTTATTCACCTTTATTGTTGTAATCCTAGTCCCCATAAAATGTGGGCAATACTTCATGGTACATGTGCAATTATGGCAGCATGTGGCACATGTTTGCACAAAATATTTATGTATTTGATTTGTGTCCCATCTCTATTAGTGTTTATAAAAAACTAGCTATCTCGCTGGTCATTTTTAGGCACAATACACAAGGTCCAATCAGAAGCTGTGACTTTGTTCAAAGCCCCTACATCTCAGGATGTTCTCTATTATTCCAATTTACCTTTGAATGTTTTTCTGGTGAAATGCACAATTTTCAAATAAAGGACTAGGGTATGAGTTTCCATTACTTTTCAGATTCCAGCTTTCTCTGCTTCTGCCCCTGCTCTCTGGAACAGCACCCTGTCAGCAGTACAGATGGTGTCCATTCTCTTGGGGTCCTGAAAAACGCTTAAAACTTGGCTCTGTTCCCAAGTCTGGGGTTAATGTATTTGGGGGTGGGGGAGACTGCTGTGACATGGTTTACTGTGGCTGTTTTTAATCCAAGCTGTCTTGTTTTGTCTGTTTTTGTTTTAACTCTGCATTAGATTTTATAAGCTGTCCAGGGTCTATTGGACTTGATGGCAGTGAAATAAATTCCTAGTCAGTCATAAAATTCACTGAGTGACCAGGGCCAATTGTTATTTGTCACTATGCCTGAGGACTAGAAAGAATCAACATGTGACTAACACGAGAAGAAACCTCTGAGACTTTGAAGTAAAGGCAGGTCATAAATAACAACAACAATAATAATAATACTACTAATACTAATAATGTTGGAAGGGACCTTCGAGGTCATCTAGTCCAACCCCCTGCTCGGGCAGGTAACCCTATACCATTTCGGACAAATGGCTGTCCGGTCTCTTCTTAAAAACTTCCAGTGTTGGAGCATTCACTGCTTCTGGAGGCAGGTTGTTCCACTGGTTAATTGTTCTAACTGTCAGGAAGTTTCTCCTTAGTTCTAGGTTTCTTCTTTCCTTGATTAGTTTCCATCCGTTGCTTCTTGTCGTGCCTTCAGGTGCTTTGGAAAATAGCTTGACTCCCTCTTCTTTATGGCAGCCCCTGAGATATTGGAAAACTGCTATCATGTCCCCCCTCATCCTTCTCTTCGTTAAACTAGACATACCCAATTCCAGCAAACGTTCCTTATATGTTTTAGCCTCCAGTCCCCTAAAACATGTTTAAATATAGTTACATGTTATTCAAAGTGTTTATTCATTCTAGTTTTACTAACAAAATTAAGGTTTCTATATCCAAAGATAAAAGAAATAGGTTGAAACATATGATTTTTAAATCACAGTCATCATTACTACTTCATACCTGCTCCCATGCTGCCATGGTCCCTTTTCCAATTCTTTATTACTCTGATTCATTCTGTATAAGGCTGTCAGTTTAAGATTGCAGATTTTTGAATATCATTAAAAAGCTTATAATAAGTAATTGTTGTACTGTTATATGAACTGAGCAATATCAGCTCAGTGTTCTATCTATTCCTACATTGGCCAAACAGATGATCCTCAGAAAGCCACAGACAAACCTAAAACTTCAGTCTCCTTACTAAAGAGAAATCCAACTATGATCAATCAGACTTATCAAGTAAATGCATTCATTCAGCCATGAATTCTACACTAATGTGGAACCCAAAAGACTAGATTATAGCTGTAGACTAAGAGGGTTGTCTATATTGTTAGCCTACAAGATTTAGGAATTTTAACTTTGTTCAACACTGTTCTCTCGTGTTGATTTTTCTTTCTGGAGCTATTTGAAATGTTAAAATTATTTGAGGGACTAGATAACACATTAGATAAACAATTGTATCACAATTATTAAATTTCATTTGTACCAACAGTTTTCCTCCATTAGAATTGTAATTTTTAAAAATAGTATCATGCCTACCACTTTTCAAACCTGCTAGGTTAATAATCTGCATTTAAAGCAGCATATTTTTAACAGAATGTTAGCCAGAAGTTATCTTTCTGATTTCCTGCTTGGCAAAGACTTCTATTTTTCAAAAGAATCACTTTTGCACCCCTGACTTAAAGCAATTAAAAGTGAATTCCAAGCCCAATATTGTATCATACATTTTATAAATATAAATTTCCTTCTTGCTGAAAATGTTAAGGTAGACAACCAACAACCCTCTGCTCCCCCCAAATTCCATACTTGCTCATTACAGTTTCAATCCCACCTATTTTGCCACATCACCAGCTCTCAGCTCCCCCTCAAAAAAAAATACGGTTCTTAATACTCAAAGTCCCCCATCTCTTTTTTTTAAGAACAGCTGTCTAAAAACACAGATCAAGAACAGATGGCACATGAAATGCATTGTGTATGACACTTAGTGGCTTATACAGATGAGTCGTGGTTTCTTTGTCTTGTCAAGAATAAAAATGTGGTTGTCATTGCATTCTGCTGGGACAATTTCTACTTCCTGGTCTATCCTACAGCCCTGATGTTTCATATCTGTCTTTGATCCAAGTGCTAACCAGGACTGACCCTGCTTAGCTTTTGAGATCACCCAAGGTTACTAGGTGCTCTCTTCTTTGTTACTACAATCTCATAATGTTGCCCTGGAAGATGCTGTGTATGCTAACTTTTCTTTACAAATACAGAATTGCTGGCAATTTTCATGGCAGCCAAAGCACCGAAGAAACTGTTCAACTACTTTCTTCATATGCTGTTTTACAACTCCATCACCACATGGTAGCTTCACATTCTGAACCAATCTCTAGAATATAAGCAGATATTTCATGTATCTAATTTGAATCAAAGAAAATAATAGGAAAGCTTTTTTCAGCTTTAGGCATATTGTAGGGTATGTTGCTGGGCGGGCGGGGAAAGACTGAACTAGATTATTCATACAGTTCCTTAGAATAATTCCAGAACAAGTGCTTTAGATTTTAAAAAACATTAAAATAAATTTAACTTGTTTATGAGAACCTGCAATTGATTTAAAGCAGAATGAGTACAAAACTAGATGAAATGTAGTCATGTTTATTATTCAAACTCCTGCCATATGTGTGCATTACACACCTACACATACATATACACTCTGTCAGCTTTGGTACTTTGCACTCTTTGCTTTAGTAATAGTGAAAAATGATCATGCAAGAAACTATGAAATAAAATATGTGGGTTGAGTTCTTTATCTTTAATCTTTCTTTCACAATGATTCCAAACTGCTCAGGGCAATATACACTCATTTTCACAACAACTCTATGAGGCAGACTACACCAAGCTTGGATTCACACATTATGCTAAGTCACATTTTGTTCAACCACAAAAGAATATGTTCATACAAGGTCTTGCCACAAGCTACTGCTTAGAAATTACACCAAGCTGCAGTGGAATATATTTGGTTTGGTTTAGCCCATTGTATGAAGCCAGCCTGAGAAAAGATCTGGGTCAAGTTCCTCTGGGGCTGCAGGACAAATTGAAACAGCATCCCTCTGGGGCTACGCTTATATAATCCTTAAGATCCAAGGGCTCAGAGACACATACTTCCCACACACAAAGTTGATCAAGTGATCAAAGTTGACTTCAAATAATGTACCATAGCACAGGAGCATGAAGCCAATGAGTCCAAAGCAACCCCTAATAAATCTCCACTATGCTCCTCTGCTCAACTTCAACCTTTCTTGCAGACAGCCGTCACCAGACACCCCGGCATATGCACCATTCTCCAGACGCACACAGTTTTGGTAGGTTCATCATGCTTGTCTGTACTTCCAGATCTTATGTCATTTGTCACCAAGGCTCAGCTATTTCTATTTATAACCCAGAACTGTTTTCCCTCTCCACTTCCCAGATGGCATTTAGTCTGTAGCCAGTCTTAAAAAGCCTCCCTCCTTTTCTATTGCAGCTTCATTCTAGACGTGGGTAAGAAAGACATGCATCAGAAGCAAAAGACAAAACAAAAAAGGAAGTAAATGACAAAAACAAAAATAGGTGAACTTAGTTCAAATTACGGGAGTGCATTATGTGCAGAGGTAGCCTTAGACTAATCGTACATTTTCAGACTAGCCCACTTCACAGGGCTGCTCTGAAGCTTACAAGAAAGGCCAAAAGAAATATTAGTTGCAGAGAAATGGCAAGACTCCAAGGTAGAAAATAAAAAAATAAAAAATAATGAAGTAAATATTGAACAAAACTAGCACTTGAGCCAGGATAGAACAAAACAGACAATTAATACTACCTAATGATTAGGGGGGGGGGGAAATAACCAGAAAGTTTAAGAAAACATACATTATGCCCACCAACCAGGCAATCCATTTCTCTCCCATGTACAGTTACAGCTCATAACTGGATAATTTAGCTGGAAAGGATGGGCTAAGTGATCCAATATCCTGAAGAGCAGAACGCAGGGGAAGGATGCACTAACAATGTGGAGGAAATTTTAAAAGCAGAATGGAAGGACTTTTGAAATAAAACAAGAAGAATCAAAAATGTGTAATTACCAATATTTCAATATGCCCTTGTTTCTTTATTTTTCATTGCACCTTAATCCACCTCAGTGTTCAAACATGCCAGGGAACGTTTCACCTGCGCAAGTGAACAACAAGCGCATCCTAAAAGCCACAAGAGCAAAAACGAGCGGGGAAATTGGCTCCAGTTTAGCGGAACATGAGACGGGTCGGGGTGCTGCCGTTTCTGTCCCGGGGCAGCCCTTACTCACCTGGCACCTACAGATGAGGTCGGCCTCGGTGGCCAGGAGATCCACCACTTTGCCTTTCCCTTCGTCGCCCCACTGAGCACCCAGCACTACCGTCACACGGTTGCCGCCCGGCTCGCTTCGCAGCCGCTTCAAACCGACGCCGATAGCAGCGCCGGCGGCAGGGCGAGAGGCGCGATCGTTGGAAGCAGCAGCGGCGGCAGCAGCCGCCGCCACAGCCGCCCGGGTGCCCGACATCGCGGCGAACAAGTTTCCGCTACGAGGCAGCTCCAAGCAGCCGCTCGCGCGCTCCCCAGCTCGCTCTTCACCATTTAAGGACAGTGGGAGCCAACCAGAGCGCACCCAGCGCTTTGACGTGAGCTGGGCGGGACTGAACTCGCCCTCGCCCTCGCTCGTGTGAATTGAGAGAAGGAAAGGGGAGGTTTGAAATGCTAGAAGTTGAATTGAAATGATGGGAAGGGGGTATCCGCGGGAAAAGCGTGGGGGCCGCAGGCCTCGTGAGGGGCAACCTATTCAACCTGTGGCTGCATAAGGATGCATTGCTGTAGCCTAATAAAGGTGAAAATTTTACAAGAAGTATTGTAATAGCAACGGCATGCATGCGTTGAGGAGGGTAAATAGTGTAGTGAGGGTCACTAATTTTTTTTTTTTTTTAAATCACGCTTTGAATTTTATCTCAGGCATACAAACCGTTGCCTTTTGCGCGGGCTTGCATCGTGACTGTTAGGATAAAAACTGGTGCCCGGGAGATTGGTGAGTATGTTACACACAGACACACAGAATATATACCGGTACGCACGCACACACATAGAGAGAGAGCGCGCTTCAGGCTAGGGATTGGGGTAATGAAAATGAAGAACTTCTTAGGGATTTTTAAAGCTTTCAGAATGTTCATTAGAAAAAAATGGTTGCAAATGTTAAAATATAATTCTAAGGGAGTTAAGGGAGTCAACATGCTGCACCCGAGGGAGAAGCTTTACATGGCAGCCACATGGGGGACAAGTAATGGCATGTGCATCATTTGATGCTTGTGACAACCTCATGGGTTGTCTGGATACCTATCGCTCTGGGTTGGAGGAAGCAACTTTAACAACTTCTGATCCACATGGCCGAGCAACTTACTGTACAGCTTGCTGATACCGTTGTTGGCTGTGTTTGCATGACACCCTAAACTCTAAACTATGTTCCGTCTTCTCACATTGCATGAACTCAGCCCCAGGTCATCCCCAGGAAAAAAATGTAAAAGGCCAAGATGGTGTCTACAATCATGTAACACATATTTAAAAGGGCGGATGGCTTCAATCACATGGTCACAGCTGCTATCTTGACTTTTTTTATCCTTTTCCTTTACAGGTGCCCTGCTCAGTCCAATTGCTTATGATTTTTAGAATGTATGTAATCCCAGGGAATAGCTGTCTTCTTGTGCAGATTCCCCAAACTATATTAATTGAAAGCCATCAAGAATAGGTAAGTATATGAGTGTCATGGGAACATATTTATTGACTTCTGTCAGGGGATCCCAAGTACCACTGCTGCAGACACAGTACAGAGGAATAAAGGTACAACGTTTCAAGACCAACAAGACAAGGTTGGTGGTGGATAGTCTGCCAGAGATGTTACAGAAAAATTCCTTACCAAGAACCATGCTACCAAAAGCTGCTTGAAGCTGAAATTCATAAACATCTGAAAAACCACTGAGTCTTCATCCTATCATGGTGACACCACCTAATTGCTGACTCATTCCTGAAAATCCAACAATCATTTCTTCAAAAACATAGCATTTAAAAAAAAATTGTAGATATAATACTAGATTTTTAAATTGTTTGTATTATCTGATGGGCTTCACTTATTTATAATGCAGTCCTTTCAGATGTGAATGGATGTACAGTATAGGTAGTCCTCCTAGAAAAGAAGCAGTGTTACAATGACATCTGTAAAGACATTGAAGGTGAAAACAGAAATGGAAAAACAAGGAATGTCTTCCAAAAGATCTCCAAACTCAGAAAGAGGTTCTCATCTTGAATTGGTATGCTGAAGAGTATCAGTTGTCAGATAGCAACTGATTTAGAGAAGATGAAAGAAAAGTGGAATGGAGATACTGAAATTCCGTTCAGGGGTGATGTCAACATCCAAAATACCTTTAAACCTATTCTTTATTTGCAAGAACCTTTGAAGTTACTCTTTACTTACAAAAACTTCTAGTACTAGAAGATGAAGTCAGACTGGCCAACAGATTGGAAGATGTTTGTCTATATATCGATATTAAAGAAAGGACATTTAACATATTAAATAAGAACCAGTTTGATGTAGTGGTTAAGGCATCAGGCTAGAAGCTGGTGGCCAGTGAGTTCTAGTCCTACTTTAGGCACAAAGCTAGCTGGGTCACTTTGGGCCAATGATTCTCTCTCAGCCCTAGAAAGGAGGCAGTGACAAACCACTTCTGAAAAACCTTGACAAAAAAACTACAGAAGCTAGTGCAGGCCATTTCCAGAAGTCAAAAATGACTTGAAGGCATGTGCACATGTGCATATATATATACATACAACACACAATTGCACATGCTAGCAAATATGTAGCATTATCCAACACAAATTAGAATCGTACATGCAGTAGTATGCTACTAAATGTTTACAACTGATTCTGCAAAAAACATTTTTTTCTCCATTGCCTCCACCATACCTTGCTGTTAGCTGCTGAACAGCTAATTTGTATGCCAGGAATATTGGCTTAACTCTGCTCTTAACTAGCTCACAAACTAGTATTGAGAAATTGAGAAAAACCAAAGAATGCAACAAATAAGTCAATATGTATTTAATTGATCCTTGGAAGGCCTTTGCTTGGGTTGATGATGTCAAGCTGTAGAATATCCTTAAAACTGGAATCTCATAACATGTCATTGTCCTGGCGAAAAACTTAAACATATGACAGAAACTGTCTGGGCAGAACATGGTGCAACAGATTGACTCCATGTTGGCAAATGAGTGAGACAAAACTGTATAGATTTTACTTGCTTATTGTTAAAATATTAGAGGAAGAAATATCAACAATCTTCACTAATGACATTCTGATAATTGAACATGCATGTAAACTGCAACTTTTAAAATGAAGATCAAGGAGCATAGTGAAAAAATGGATTAAAATTGTATATAAATAAGACCAAACTAATGACAACAGATATAGCAACCAGCCTTTGAAGTGACTGAAGTTACTGAGGTGGTGGGTAGCTTCTGTCTTTTAGGATCAACCATCAAGAGTAAAAGAACAAGAGGTCAAGAAATACTCTGCAGACTATTTCTTAGTAGGATAACAATAAAAGCCTTGGAAAAGATATTCAAATACTATGATGTCTATACCTAGACATCAGAATCAAGATCAGAATCAAGCAGACAATAGTTTTCCTTGTGACTCTCTGTGGAAGTGAAAGATTTTGAAGAAGTAAGACATAAAGAATATTGAGACTTTTGAACTTTGGAGAAAATTCCTGAGAATACAATGGATCACTAAAAAAACACAAAAAGTTAATAAAACAAATTAGTCCAGAATTCTTACTCCAGATCAATTGTCCAAGCTCAAATTATATTTTAGACACATTATCTGGAGACCTAGATCTCTTGAGAAGTACAATACATAATGCTAGGAAATGTGGAAAGAAAGAGAGATGACTGATGGACTTGATTGTAATAATTGGAATGTGCGAATGTGCCAGGTTGGAGAGGGGTAAACCTGAAAAAAGTCTGTCTGGGTATTTGCCAACAATCAATATTGACTTGGTTTGACATGTACTAGTATATTAATATCAGCATACTATATTATCTCAGGGTTATAAAGCATTTGTGTAAATGAACAGGTTTTTAATATATTGCCACACCATATAACTCTTGTTGCTTCACAGCAATTATAAAATATAACAATAAAATTCTCATTGTGAATTAAAGTTAAAATTGTAAAAATTACAGTCAAAGTCACATAACAGAACCCTGATGAGGTCAGAATTTATGCAAGAACTCTCCTGAAAAATTCTGTTTTAATTACCATTTAGAAGGGTATTATTTTTATTATTTACGTTATTTATATCCCAGCTTTATTATTTTTATAAATAACTCAAGGAGGTGAACATATTAATACTCCTCCATCTTTCTATTTTCCCCACATCAACAACCATTTGATGTAGGATTAATCTCATCTCCAAGGGGAACCTATTCTAGATGACTGGGGCCATCATGAAGAATCTGCTTTTACACCTCAGCCCCTCTCATTTTCCAGAAATTGTGAATTGTAACCAATTCCCCTGGGACAAAAACTTTGAATGGGTTGAATCCAATTGGAAAATGGTGTGCTGAATGTACTGAGGTGCCAAATCATGTAGAGCTTTAATGGTTAAAACACTTTGATTTGCACTACTACCAGTGTAGATCAGGGATGTCAAACTGCCGGCCCGCGGGCCGGTTTGCTAGCAATGCAAAAAGAATCGCGATATGTCACGATACGTCATGTGACGTGGCGAATTTGACACCCATGGTGTAGATCCTGCAGGAGTGATGTCATACAATCAATTGCCTAAGAAGTTTGGGCTGCTGCATTTCTGATCAATTGTAGTTTCCAAATATTCAAAGGCAGTCCCATATAGATTGGTTATGGGCCATAAATTTGTTTTTAACTCCTAGAAACCACATAGATACTGTAGATATTTTCCCCCATGATTCCCTAACCTGACAGGGACCTAACTGTCTCCTGACAGTTCACTCATTACCATTGTAACTGAGTCCACCTTCCTTACTGGTGATTGTCCCCTTGTCTTTCCTTCTACCTTATTCCAGGTAAAGCTCCATGTATAAAAGATGGAACACACTCAAAGCAAGTTACAGAGCCCAAATCTTTTGCTCAGGAAGATTTCTTTTTTTTTTTTTTTTAAAGTTTTTTATTAATAAAATAATTAAAACAAAAAAGGACATGACATGACGTTCCAGTATATATAATCCTAACAATTTGTTCCTTATCATATTTAAAGTTCTATATATACATCTATATATATATACATATATTCCCCTATATAATACAATATTATACAATCTCGAGCTTGTTTCTCTATATATTAACATATAATTTTATATACCACAAACTTAAACTTTAACTCAAAACCCGAACAGTTCTTCTTGACTCATACCAGCAGTAAAATTTGTCCCAGATTCCAAAATAGTCCGTTTCTGTCTTGTCCTTTAGTTCCATAGTTAGCCTGTCCATGTCCGTACACGATAAAATTTTTTGTAGA